GTTTCATGCCACGCTAGAGCAGCTATTGAATTTCCTACAACATGGCAGCCAATCCTGACATTCATATGAGGAATACCATGATAAATATATAAAGGACTATAAATAAGGCAACAAGAATTAAAACATCATAGGTTCTGAAGGTGGCATCTTGACTCAAGTGAAAGAAACTCAATAAATAACCAAAGTTGAAGGATGAAAATGAGAAACAATTACCAACTAGTTTATAAACTACAGTTTAATCAATTTACAGGGCCAATAAACCTAGCACTCCAATCTTGATTTTTCATGCCATTCCTTGCCAAAAAGAATCATGGCTTCTGGAGAAATAGCTAGCTTCAGGGCTAGATACAGAAGATACACAATTACCCTGGATCACCTTGCTAGGCCAAAAAGTAAGGAAACGCTCAAAAATGATATTTTAAACCTATCACAAAGACTTAGAATTATAAACCACCAGTAAAAAAATTTTTTTAATAAAAAGTAGATGGAAATGATGAAGAAGGGAAGTACTGGCAGAGCAGGATGCTAAAGACTGACTAGTAAATGAAGAGTAAATACTGGCACTGGTACATCATCATTTTGCAACCATGACAATAAAGCCTGGTCCAGGCAAGAATTATTAGTAGATGCTAAATCAAGAAGAGAAATTTCAATTAAGAGCAGGATATACGCAGGGTATCTGAATATCTCCCCATGGATTGCTCATTAATAGCAGGGGGATAAGTAGTAACTAAAAAATAGAGAAACTAGACAGTACCTTGACCAGATAAATATTGAGTGCTTCCAGATGCGATGCCTGGAAAAGAAAAATCATTTATATAATATCCTGGCTAGGAATGCAAAATTTGAACCTAACTCATGAGAAAACATCAAACAGACCTCAAATGAGAAGCATTCTATTAAAAAGGAAGGAAGGAAGGAAGGAAGGAAGGAAGGAAGGAAGGAAGGAAGGAAGGGGCAAAGGCCCTGTATTCTTCAAATATATCAGTGTTATAAAAGATAAAAACAGCAAGCTGAAGAATTGTTACAGATTAAAGATTAGAAGAGATTAAAGAGACCTGACAAGCAAGTACAATACACGGCTCCATACTGGATCCTGTACTGGAGAGAAACAAAAAGCCAATGTTTATAAACTACATTACTACGTACACTGACAAAATTCAAATATGAATGTTAAGTTATGTAATAGCAATATATTAAAGTTACATTTACTGACACTGGATATTATACTGTGATTATATAAATAAAATGCTTTAATCTTAGGAAATTGCATTGCAATATTTAGAGGTGAAAGAAGGCAATAATATCTGCAACTTTCAAAAGATTCTAAAAAAAGAATATAAACATATATTCATTCTCTCTATACATATGCATTCTCTCTATATGTTATTTCATAAATATATTCATTCTCTCTGTATATATGTGTACACACACGTATATATGTGGAGAGGAGAGACAGGGAGAGAGATCACATGATAAAACCAATGGGACAAAATGTTAGCATGTCAACACTTGGTAAGTCCCAGCTTTAAAAGAATATGGGTATTCTTTGCAACTTTGATGTAAGTTTAAAATTATTTCTAAATACAAACGTTGAGGGGGAAAAAAGCAGGCAAAAGATAAGCACAAAATTCAGGTACTGTGAGAGAGAGGAATCGGAGAGAGGAGGAATGCACAGAAGAACGTGCTGACCGTGTTCTCGGTGACACTCGTGGCTGTTCCTCTTATTGCTATGCTTTGTAACTACCTACATGCTACATATATTCCTGTGTGGATAAAATATTCCATTAGTAAATATTACATCAGAAAGAAGAATAAAAAAAATACTCTGTGAATTGTTTTAATAATTTCTTTAAAACTACAGTAAGAATATGAAGAGCCCACACAATGCAAGCACAACAGGACATACACTAATAGGTATTTCTGGAGTAATAATCATTAATTTGTTTTTATTCCTACTGGGTTAAAAGCATAATACTATATTTAGGTCAAGTTATTTAGTTATCTTCATTCTTCCTCAATTTGGTAGTACTTCTTTCTCTCAGCAAAAAGGCTTTTTTTTTATTAACACAACATGTAGTACAGTTAACAAAAGCTAATACACATAATTATAGCTAATATTTATCGCTTACTAAATGCCAGGCACTATGCTAATAAGTACTTGATATATATTATATCTTTCAATTTTCACAGTTACTCAAACGATATAGATCCTATTATTTCCCCCCTTTTCACATGGGGAAAAAACAAAAACAGAAAGGTTAAGTAACCTGTCCAAGGCCACACAGCTAATGTGAGTCCAAATTTGAACCTAGAGAGTCTCATTCTAGACCTCATACTTGTAAACAACATGCTCCACTGCAACTGAACCTGAGATTCTGTTCTCAAATAGTTCTTACATTGAAAACCTAGGTAAAAAACCAGTGGATAAGCAATAGATTATAGCTATTATTTCCATTCACTGAGCAATGAATGCTGTACATAAAGACTATCTTAGATTTGCATCCCCCTCTTCGTTTTTCCTTCTGACCACTCATTAAAAAAAGGAAAAGATATTATTAAGTAATTAAGATGCTACCAGAGACAGAAGAACAGATAGAAAAACTTTTAAGATATTCTCAATCTATATACACTACATAATCCACATTTTAAAAATATTGAATATGCTTATATGGAAAATGCTGGTTATAATGGATATAGGAAAAAAGAGTTTTCTAGCATAATAGAATTCTCAGGTGTATTATGTGGATATGTCATTTTATGGCAGCCCAGCATCCAGCCCTTTTCCTGACATCATCCCTGCTTCTTTTGGGGGAATTTTCTGTACTATGCAGTCCTGGTGGAAGCATAAATCCAAATACATGTTCTCCATTATGGAAACTAAAGACATCTTTTAAAGGCTGCTTCCAGAAAACTCTCTGCTCACTCCAAAGGTATAGGGAAGTGAACATAGAATCCAAGTTCAGTCAATCAGACACATTCTCTCAAGATTTAGTGTATTAAGTAGAATCAATGCACATACCAAAGATGTGGTTAGAGTTTATTTACGCCAGCAACACAGCCTAACCTTTTTGTTGTTGTTGTTCCTGAAAGTTCTTGCTACCAAGATCTTCCAGATCTGCCTAATTCTTATCTGTTTCAAGCATAACTCTTTAGTCTCCCTTCAATCCTGTAAGCTTTTTCCCATCCCAGATACCAGATTTGTCTAACAAACTCCTTTTTTGCTTTTAAGTCAATCTGTTTCCTTTACCGGCAACAAGAGTAACAACAACGACAAATCTGTAAAATAAAATATAAAAGCATAAGGGGATAAAATTATATAATCTTATTTAGCAGTTCTTTGGGTGACTTTTATTCTTTTCCAATGGTTTAGTATACTGGGAAAAGTACTGGCCAAAGTATTTAAAGAGCTAAAATCTAGTCCAGGCTTTCCATCAGCTGGCTTCAACATCTGAAGTGTGAATTCATTCTGGTCCTCATTTTTTTTAAAGCTGTAAAGGAAGATGGTTTGAACTTCAAGTTTTGTTATATTCATAAAATATTATGTTTTATAGAAGGGACCAAAGATTTCAATGACAATACCAATAATACAGACCTTCTTTCAAGAAATTAGCACGTGGATGACTGTTACAGTATTTCCTGTTCTTTTTTAATATTGTTTTCATAGAAATAAGATGTTACAGTAGTTTTTCACACGACAAACAGGAATCAAATACTTTCAGACCATTTCCCTAAAGGGATGACATTATGTATCTCAGAAGACTTAGCAGTAATAAAAAACTGGTTTGAAATATTACTATCAGTAAATAGCATTACATTTGTGAGACGCACAGGCAAAACAAGGCATCTTCTATAGGTTTTTACATTTTGTAATACCACAACATTCTCCTGAAATGTTATTCCCTTCATGTTTTCAAATGTTGTATAAATACCAGCCTTACATAAAAGTTTCAAGTTCAAAAGAATAAAAAATTCCTTTAAAAGATAACTGATAATTAGACATGTTTTGCTACAGCTGTATAAAATTCATTGGTATAATTACTAAGGAATATATTCATAATAGTATTAGGATTTCAGTTTTCATGAAAGGGCTAAAATTACTCGTGTCAAAGTCAGGCAAAATTTTGCAAACTGGCATTAATCATGAATTGGTGAGAGTCTAAAAAGCCAGTAGGAAATCGTAGAATAAGGTCAGAAGGAGTTTTAATGTTGAAACCAATACATCAATAGAAAAGTACTGCTACCAATTCTTTAAAAATTAAAAAAAGAAGTCATTTTCAAAAGCCAATCAAGATTAACAATCATTAAATCACATCTCCAAGAATAATTATTATTTAATTTTAACACTTATCAAGCATTAACTGTATTTAAAAGGTGATGAGACTTTGTTCTTCTCATAAAAGTTTTATCTCCCTAGACCTAGGCTTAGATATGTTATTTGTTACCACCTCTCACAGGAATTCAAAACACAGGTCATCTATCATGGCAGTCAGGCTAAATTCTGGATGGCAAAGAGGAAGATGAATTAGTCCTTGGTCTTAAGCACTCACCACCATGGAATCAACTCAATATAATGTGATACATGCTAGAAAACAATAGTATTTAGTATAATCTGTTAAGGAAGTAATTAATTCTGTTTAGGGACAGAGGAAAAGCTATAAAGAAAAGGTGACATATTAAAATTTTATAAAAGTATCAAAAACTCTTATCCAGACAAAGGACTTCACTGTCGGTCAGATCTGAGTTTAAACCCAACCCTAACCCGTGTTGGTCATGTGAAACTGAGCCAGTTGTTTGGAAACCTAGAATGTAGGCCTAGTTCTGCTGCTCTTCAGCCATACCCTTAGGTAACATTTAACGTCTCTCAGCCTCAATTTCCTAATCAATGAAAAGAGTCAGTGAGTCATTCTCTATGATCCTTAATTTCCCCTCCAGTAATAACATGACTCTATACCTTACAGTAAATTAGAGAAATTCCTTTTTTTTTTTTTTTTTTTTTTTCATAAACTGCTCTTTATTGGCATCTGAAAAAGAGGTGCCTCAGCCTTCAAGGCTGGGACAGAAGTTGGGGAGGAGCTGCTGTCCCTGGGCTCAATACCAATAGACCTTCTTGTATTTCCGAGTCTCCTTGATCCCCATGGCCTCCATCACCTCCTCCTGTAGTGTCTTTAGACGGGGCACGTAGGTTCTTTCTAAAGCATCTTCCACTGATGTGTCTTTGGGGCCATCAATCCATGTTTCAGGGACGATGCCATCAGCTCTGGGAAATTCGGGTTTAGGGATAATTCTCCCCGATCGTGTGGAGACTCGTACCCGCTCTCCTGCTTCAGTAAATCTCCACTCAATCTCAGTGGGTTTCCTGTCCATAGGATCCACAAGTTTGACCTGGCGGTGGAGCAAGGGGGCTTCACTAGGGATCATGGTTCCTCGGTAATCCATGGTCTTGCCAATGTAGCGGTAATATGTGTTCAGCCCTCCCACGACCACGCAGTTTTGCTGCCGGATAACTTGAACCACTTTGCCCTGCTTTCCGGCATCCTTGCCTTCTAGGATCTCCACCGTGTCCCCACAGAACAGATACCAGTCTTCATCAGAGATGGGTTCCACAACCACTGGGCGCCGCCTGCTCCATGGGGCGTTCTTCCTCTTGTCTGCCAAGGAGCCTGAGGGGCTCATCCCATAGCAGTAATTGGGGGGCAGAGTGACCTTGGATGCCAAGGCCAGTAGGGCAGAAAGACGCATGCCTGGAGGCTGTACGAAATCCCTTTGCCAGCAAAATGCTCAGAAATCTTCCTTGTCAGCTCTCCACTTTCCGCGGCACTTCGGCTGCTCAGCACATGGGCCCTCCGAGAAATTCCTATTGATATTGAATGTGTTCATTTGGCAAATACCTCTAGAACACCCAACTAGGTACTACTGGGCTAAGCAAGTGGAATAGATCATTGAACAAAATAAGCAAAAATCTCTGTTCTCAGGGAGATTACACAGAAAGCATCTATGGAAAAACTTTTAAAATTCTTTATTGCACCCTTGTTCAAACAGAACTTCCCTGTACAGTTGACATATATGTTAAAAATAGTTAACACTGGAAAATTTCCAAATAACCATAAATATTAACACAGAGAAAGAAATCTAGACAGTGATGAAGTATAGTTAGTAGCACTACCATCAAAATCACGTTTCTCTAAATTCACACTGAGTCAGTGAGCCTTAGCAGCTTGACAAAAAGGCAGCATGTTAATGAGATTTCCCTAAACCAATTTAGTATATAGCCATATTTTTTCCTCATTTAAATTATTCCATAGTTCCTTAAGAACTATGATACAACCAGGTAAGTTTTATTTAAAGATAAATAAAATCTGTATATAGTGAGAAAATATTAACACAAAAACCTACAATCTCACTTCTTTTTCAGATATTCCACTTCCATACTTGGTGTTTTCAGCCTCATTTTAGGCTATTTTATTATACAAGATTTTTATTTCAGTTATATATTATCACTGTTTGAAAACTGATTTATTATTCAATAGGCAATTGTAGGACATCCACTCTTAGGCATCTCCAAAACAGAAACACAGTCAGAGTATGCCAGGTGATGGAGGGGCTACAGAAAGGATACATGATGAGGTAAGGAAGAACAGAATATAGCCACCCTCAAAATACACAGCAACTTGAGAAGAGTCATGGCAAGTCTTACAATCTTCCATGCTTGGACTCTTGTTTACTAATTTACTAATTTCTCTGTAGGATTTTTCCCGTTCTGTTATGGTGATGTCTTCCTCATGGCTGCTACAGTATCCTAGATTCTGCAGCCTGCCTTCTCTCAAAACTTTTGAATCTTTCTATTAATTGCATCCCTTTCTTAGAAAAGAAGATCTTACTAGGGTTGTGGTGACTTTCCAGTATGCAGTATAAAGTCCTCATGTTCAGCCCCTTAATGGCTGTGTGCTTTTGACTGCCTTTGGATAATGGGGTCACAAGATTTTAAAAAAACAAAATCTTGTTAGCATATGCCTAAGGCACTCATCAAAAGAGGACTATAGCATAGGAGGTAACATGAAGTTTCTAAGAAAGACATGCAAGTACCTTCTGTGGACCCTTCAGCATGTAATGATACCGTATGACCATGGAGACTGTATGTACTGAGACTGAACTGAGAAGTCACTCCCACAAAGTAGGGCCATTTCTTTGACTGTCAGGCACTTTTGGTGGAATGTTCAGTATATAATAGTGACACAGTATCACCATAGAGACTGTATGTACAGAGACTGAACTTAAAAGTCACTCCCACAATGTTAAGGCATTTCATTAAAGGCACAGAAGTAAACACTGGCAAATATATATAGCCTATACTAAAAATTTAAAATTCTAAAAGGTGTGAAGAAGTGGGTGTAGTCATATGTTTATGTAATTTAAATAGGCTCAGCTTAGGAAACTATTCTTTGAAGCAAAACAAAACAAACGTACAAATAAAATATTGTGAAAACACTGTTTTTAAAGCTGAGCTGGTCAGCATCAAACATGCACTTCAAAGTAGCGTGTCTTAAGTTTCATAATTGGTATTCTTCAAACTGTGAAACTCAAGAATATATTGACAAATGGCCACAATTTTGGGTAAGAGAACAATCACCTTGAGAAACATTTTCCAAAGTTTCAGTATTCCAATTTTACCAAGGAGAAACAGCCAGCATTATACAATTGCCAGTCTGAGGTTCTGTGCCAACATCATGCATAAAAATTGCAAGCAATGACCAAACAAAATATAAAATACAAAGGACAAATACTTGAGGAAATGGATACCCCATTTTATATGATGTGATTATTATACATTGCATACCCGTATCAAAACATTTCATGTATCCCATAAATATATATACTTACTGTGTATCCACAAAAATTAAAACAAAAAATCTGAAAAAAAATACAAAACACAACAAAGAAAACTTTGGAATAATACTTCCTTTATGCTGAATATTTCTACAAAATGCTGGAGCCACATGAAAGAAAAGAATATGTATCTCTTATTCTCTTTCCTTCTGTCAATGGGCACGAGAAAAATATTCCTTCACCTTCCACCTGCCACCCACCAGATGCCACTGGCTGCTATCACATAACCACAATATGAGCCACCTTACAAGGAAGCAGATACCAAGGAAGGCAGAGAAGAGAGATGGAGTTGACTGCCTATAAGCATCCAAATGATCACTGACTTTGTCACTTCTTCTGATGAGTTCTGTTCTTTTTTTTTTTTTTTTGACATAAGTGAATTCTGTTTCATAAAAAAAGGAAATGATGAGAGTGGTACAGGATGGCAGATAAGAAAGACAATTTAATCTATCTCTTTCCCTCCTACTCTACCCAAAAGGCTATGAACATAATGTATGAGCAAGGATGATAAGAAACACTAGTTTTGCACTAGAAAAACAAAACAGGGACAGAACATTATGAGCAGTCATAATTCCTAATCAGTTTCATTTTTCTATTTCAAGTGCTGTAGATCACTGATCATGTTCTTGCAAATACCCATAAAGTCTACACACTGAAGATGAACAATTAGGGTAAAAGTGAAAATAAAACATTGATTTAATCTGTTTTGTTACCCACTGGAGGAAGGAATCTATAAAATTATCCAAAGTTGTAATTATGGAGGATTAAGAGACTTGCCCCTACAAAATTATCCAATATTTTCATTATTGAGGATTAAGAAACTTTCCCCAAAACACTTTAAAGTAGCGTTAAGTGGTGAAAAAAAAAAAATGTGGAGAGAAAGAGATCACATGCCTCCCACAGGGTAGTTGTTAAATGAATATTTCTTAAATTTAACTGAAAATACATAAAAGGAAAGAAGAAATAAATTTTCTACGAAAAGGAAAAATAATTCGAGATGATCAAAAAAGTTAACATACTGGAAGACAGTGCGGCACTGAGGAATGAAGGCTGGTATCATCTACTGGGCAGAATTGTTTTGAAAACTGGATGAGATGTTTGCAAATGTATTCAGCAAATGTCATGCAGTAAATACATTGAAATTGAGAAAAATCACTGACTAAAAGAGAGAAACCTGTTTTTCAGTGCTACTAAGTAAAGTGAAGTGGAAAAGAGGCCATGCATTTAGGATCCTCTTTCTTGGTCCTTTCATGATCCAGGAGCTGCTACTTGTAAAGCTGCTCTGTGGCAGATATTTCAATTTGTTTGTTTTCTTGACAACTTCAGTTATAAGGTTTGCTAATGCTTATAAGTTCCCACAGGAGAAAAATTGGTTAGTGAGGATTATGAACTAAAGGAAAATGGCTTCGAGGATAGGTTGGTAAGAGTAGGATAAATTCTAATATTATACAAAAATAGTAAGATTATACTCTACATATTTTATACCAAATTAATTTCTCCTGTACTGAGTACAGTAACTCATAAATCCCACTCACTCTGTCCCTAAGCATGAATGAAGAACATGAGAAAATACATCAGGGATTTAAATGAACGTATTTTTAAGTTAAGGAACTCATATTTGACAAGAATGGCTTATGTTTTAGGAAATACTATTTTGAATCAAATCAAAGTTGAAGTGGGTTTTTTCCCCCTGCTTTTTTAATCATGGAGGAAGAAGAAAAAGGCAAACATCGATTTCTGATGGTAAGCTTGCTCTGATCCTTCCCATTTTAGTCTGCAGCAAAGACCTTATTCAGTTCCTGAAAAAAGCCAAGCCCTCATCATGGTTACTTCAGATTATATAATGGGAGCTGCTCTGAACTATCCAAGCATAAAGCTGGTCTCCAAAAATTGCTCATATGCTAAAGCTTGATATTGTCATAAATGTCTATAAATGCATACTGAATAATGTAAATTGATAACCTGTTGACAATGCATTTGCATAAATCAAGTCAATATTCATGTAATAAATTCACCATTGAGCCTTTTCTCTTTCCTCGTACTGATCATTCTGTAGCTAGTAAAGTCCTAGACTAGGCTGGTAACTTTAGGTAAATGAAATGGAAAGACTGGCATCCTAGAAGAACAACTAATAAAAACCTAAAAGAATTTAGTGATAAGAAGCTAGTTCTCAAGAGGAAACCTCCCCCCCCCCAAAAAAAAAAATGACAAGACTCAACAATTCCACAAAGCAAGCTTTTCAAAGTCCATTCTTTCTCCCACATTATTACTGTCCTTATGTCTAACAAGTACTCTGATGAACAACTTATCATAAAGCTCCTTGCATTTTTCACAGTATAAAGAGGAAAAAGCCCAATAGTTCTTACCAAGTTAAAACCAAAAGACAGTCAGATCCTGAGAGTCAAACAAGTAAAGACGTAAGTAAAATGTCTTTGGCCATAAATCAAAAGCTAATGGGACCTGATCACGTGAGTCTGACCCTTTAATAGTATTCTCTTCTTGCTTGGCAACCCAAGTGAGAGAACAAAGTTTCAGGGTTATCTGAGCCTGTGCGAAGACTGGATGGTGTATTCGATGTTAGCGATAGCTATCACATTGCTGAGGAAAAGTTACATTAAATCAGGGAAAACTATTGTCACTAAGTCTAGACTTTTGTTTTCAGAGACAAGAAAATGTGAAATTTAAGCATCAAATATGATATCATGATCTATCAAAAAGACTTGAATATTTCTGGTAAATGCTCACAGTTCCTACCAGAAGTTTAGCTCCTTCATAGTGGGGGGTGTTATACTTTAGTGCTGTCTCCCACTGTTGAGGAGATGCTCAGTAAGAGAGTCTTCACTGATGATTAACTCAGTAGAACTCTCAGGATGTAAACTACAGACTAAAAGAACTCACACATTGATGCCATATTTG